GTTCATTTGATGGGGAGGGAGGACATTCGAGTGAGTGTGCGGTGTTTGGGAACTAAGCCTTAGAGAGAAAAATGGATTCTGAAGGAGAATGTCAGCAATTTCTATTCTTCGCCGCGTTTAAAGTTCGCGACTCCGGAGATTTAGATGGAAATGGCGAATGTTATGGCATGACGCTACAGCGGTAGCGATCATTCTACCAGTATAACGTCTCTTCAGCCAAGAAGGACAACATCTGAATGGCGTTCGAGAGAAATGCCGGAGAATGATCTGTAAACAAGAGTTGCCGCCTTTCGCTCAAAGGCAACATTGGAAGAGCATTCCACGACAAAAATTAAGTTCGTATAAGAGAAAATTCACCTAGTGGAGACACATGCCAACCCCCTATGAGTGCGAACTAACACTAATTCGCATCCAAAGGTATGCCCTCAGCGACCCTTCCCTTCTTGGCTTATCGCTCCGAAGCCCCATCTGCCATCTGACCACTTGCCGCAGCTCGGCCGCGTTCATACTTCGCGATTAGGACAGTCAGCGACAAACATATGTATTGTCGGCGAGATAGGATAGTAGTAGAGTAGGAGATTGCGCTGACAAGATTAGATACGTATCGATTGAAATCGCCGGAGAGTAGTAGATTGCGATATTACGATAGTAGGATAGTAGTAGAGTAGGAGATTAGGATAGTGCGCTGACAAGATTAGATATTATGTATGTAGATATTAGATACATGTCGATCGCTGGAGACCAGTAGATTAGGCTGCTTGCAACGAACCGATCAATACGTATCTAATCTTTTCAGCGTACTACCCTAATCTACTCTAGCCTACTACTATGTTAGCCTACTACTTTCCTATTCTCCCTGTCAGTACATATGTTTTTCATTGTCGCGTACTATCCCGATCTCCGGAGTCGCAAACTAGAACATAGCTTTAGCGTCGAAAAGGGCAGACGACAGTCGCATCAGAGCGGAAATCAGCGATGAAAGAAGAGGTCCTATTTCTCGGGTTCCACATCATTTCCCATTGTTTCTTCTTCATCCCTACTCCACCCACCACCTCTTGCCCGTTATTTTCCACTCAGCAACCTTTTCATCGTAAAATCCGCCTTTACGTAGGAGAAGCCCATAGAATTGAGACAGAGCTGGTCAGTAATGCCGTACTGACGATGAATCCATGACACACAGAACTCGGAAAATGGGATCTCCCCTCATCGCCTGTTGATTTCCGCATGGTTGCGATTCTCATCGGTGTGCCCTCTCCAACGCTTACGATTGCTCTGCTAAACGGCTGAAGACCTGCGGCGATTTGTTGACCAGACGATGAGCTGGGCACGCCCGCGTCCAAGCTAGATCACAACATCGCCTGCAACAAACTCTTTTGCAAGCTGGTGGTCGGGCTGCCTGGAATTTTTCACAAGTATAGGCGCCGATCAGACTTTGCGAATCGCGCGATTCGCTACTAGCGATTCGCGCGATTCGCTAGCGTCCGCGGTCGCGTTGCGGTACCAGCCAATTGAGTGATTCACTGGCCGCGACGCGACCGCAGACGCTAGCGAATCGCGCGATTCGCAAAGTCTGACATCGGCCTAAGTTTCCCTCTTCGACCTTGTCGTGGAATCCACCTTTAGGGCGAATGACTTAGAAATGTCCTTATGCGGTAGATCCAAATTGTCGAACCTCGGCTCTCTGAGATCGTTCGACAGGCGTAATAACTTCGTATAGCATACATTATACGAAGTTCATGTCCTTCTTTTTTTGTTTTTTTTTTTTCTTTATTGGTTATTTGCAAGCGGCAAGTCCGACTACACACGCTAGGCGGGTACAGAGCCTTCCTATTGGAGCTTGCGAGTGGCTTTTTTGGACCTTTGATCTTTTTGTCGCCAAAGTATGAAACCAAGCGTCTAGGTAAGATGTCCACCATTCGCCCAGTATGTCAATTCATAAGCACTGCACGCGATTGGACTGGTAAGTCAGAAAACAATAGACACCTGTATAATTGCTGCCAGAGAATTGTTCACCGAAACCAGAGGATAAAGTTGAGATCAGCGTCGAGAGCAGGTCAGCGGTGCACACCATGTTGCATAGCGGTGCTGATCATAGGCCCTATCTTGATGAGTCTCGTTTCAAAGGACGCCCATCTTATGAATACGATTCGACACATATGCCAGTAGAGGGAAGCGAATTCATAACATAACCGTCAGCAAATAAGCACATATAGAAGAGCCGCGACTTTTTTCTCAAATCTCACGTGTTAGGTATCGGTACCGTACAGGCTGGACTTCTTTGCCTCAAAAAAATATATTCTCACAACTGCCTGATCGGTATTATTGGGTGTCTCATAATTCCTGTCTCAATTTCGACACCTTTGTTTATCCAAGTTGAACCACACCTTAACTCTTTTTTTAACAAGTTCCCTCCTTACTGAATTTATTCTCATTCTCTATACCACTTTTAGAAAACGACTGATCAATATCATAACCACCATCACGGTCATTGATGCGCGCGTTTGCTAATGAGCGTTTGGAAGCTTCCAGCCCAGAATGAAGGAAGCTGGGGGTTGAAGAATTTGGAGAAGTCGTTTTTGGGGTGGTCGCAATCTTTAACTTTCTTCTCTGGCAGATGCTTATTCAGGGCGCAGGGGAGGCGATAGTCCGATAGAGCGATGCCAATGCTATATGGTGGATGAGGTATCGTGGCCCTGGCTATCTCCCTCAGAACGTGGTGAGTTGGCATTGCAATGTGAGGTCTGGCGTACATTCGGAGAAAGGAGAATCTGAGACGTTTCTGACGATTCCCTCGCAACCCCGAAGCCAGCCTAGAGGGCTATTCCGCGCTGACTTTAGCAATGCTTGTCTTCATACATTGAAGTGGTTCCCAAACCAGGCCACCTAGCGAATCCAACATAAACGAACGTAATAACTAGATAGATATCTCAGAAACGAAGTTCGGGCTTTGGTTGAGCTGGTGCTTCCTGGCTGCGAGGAAGCCAACAGCCATGTTATTGTCGCAGTGGACTCATGACTCATTTCCACTGGTGACCGATTAGGGAAGGCTCTGCTGTAGCCGTCCCAGGATGAATTTTCCCTTAGATGATTCAGGCGTGCTACCGCTTCATAGTGGCTGCTCGGACCATAGTTTTCATCAAGTCTTCATTCTGCTGCCGCCCACTTCATCCTGATGGCGTGTGCTGGTGCATCGGCTGCGCCCAGGTGTCTGCTACAATACCCTGGTAGTAGCGTCCGTGTGCACTTCCAATCCATGGCGCAAGGGGTCCTCATCGAAAGTGAGTGGAGGCCCAGGATGAGGCTGATTTTCACAGCTCGTATTGTCTTTGCCATTGCGACCGAACCTCTAGCTCAGTGACCGATCAGTAGCAGAGACTGAGCCAAAAACAGCGCTGGTCTTATGTAATGTCCTTCTTGCAACAGCGTCTATTTGAGGATCGTAATGCATAATCGTTCGTTATTGCTATTGATCTATTTCGACTTCTACTCAGTTATTCCGATGCGGTTTACACTTCGGAATATGTGGCCGGCTAACTGTCCTAATGCCACTCTTAACATAGCCAACTAAGTGTTTCGACAAAACTAGTTTGACTTGAAGAAATTCGAGTTTGAACCGCGCAGGAATTATGTGGCAACTCAGTATATTTCGAAATCGGTCTTAACACGTTGACGACAAGTTGACGCGCATGCGCGTCAAGAATTTCGCACCGCATCGGACATCCTGACGCGCAAGCGCGTCAAGTCTGTGTTATTCATTTTTATCGTGCTTGCGCTCCTTCTTCTCGGGTTTCTTGTATTCATTCTATAGATAATACATTAGCATAACTATAAACCGCCTGGCAGCCAGAGTGGTCAAGTATCCTATGATTTAGCAAAAATTTTCCGAACGCACAAAACTTTCATTTCAATTCTTTCCTGGTATTCCTTTCACTGTCGTTAACATTTATATGAAAGATTGTAGAATTAGTTAATACAAAACTCTGTGAGTTTCAATATATTTGCATGTGATGGAAATACTTAGATACAAATGCTTTTAATTTCATTCGCAGCGAAAGCGTGTTTTTTACTTCTTCGTGGTCATTATGCACTCTTCTAAACAAAAACCTACTGCTACTTATATTTAACCTTTGTGCGTCATCCTTGCCGAAATAGTCCTATGAAATTCAAGTTATTGTGCATTTTTAACAAAAAATAAGCGGAAGTAAGGTGAGGACGGCGCGGTCGCAAAATCGCTCCTGTCCCACGAGGTGCAAAATGCCAAAACATGCGATGTCGTCAACGTGTTAAGAATTCAAGTGTAAACATCCATCTTAAACCTGACGACCTGAGCCTTTCCTTGAGATGACCTAGCAGGCCGAGATAGGACAGGTTCTGAAAAGAAGATTACAGGGTGTACTACTATTCAAAAGAAAGTGCAATGGCTATTAGAATTCGAACACTTTGTGGGAGCGGCTGCCTGACAGAGGAAGCCCTAGGTTTGAAGCTTGAACGCGTGCGAGCATGAGAAGTTTCAAGAAAGGTTGGAAGCATATTAACAAGAACCTGACTGGAAATGAAATTAAAACTGAAGGTGTTGTGGTGACGTTTCATACAAGTAGTGGGAGAACCTGAGATCGTCCGAGATTAACACCAGGGAAACAGGAAGAACCTGACAGCGCTTGGGTCAGTGTCACATCACTTTTGTGAACTTAATCAGTTGCGAGTGTTGGGAGTAGTCGCAACCATCCCACTTCGGCCACTCATTACGATTTTCGAGGAACGATGAACTGGATAAACACTCGGCAGATCAGCAACATACAGTGACGCCGTGCTCATTCCCTTTTCCATCGGTTTCGTAAACAGACAGAAAGCTTAAAGGGAATGTTAGTGAAAATTGTTTCCCAGCAGGGCAAGACTGGAAGTTCATGACAATTGGCGCTCGTTTGTTCCATTACTTGAGCAATTCTAACGCAAATCATACTCTCATTATTAATTTCTCATCTGTTTTAGAGTCAGAGAAAATGTCACGAAAGTGGATCGCCTTTTTGGTGAGTAACGAGCTACTCTTAAGAACTGCATGCAGCCGCTTAGACTGTGAGATTCACTTTGGTAACTTTTCGGAGAAACTCATTGCAGGTTATCGCGGTGATCCTTCACAGTGTGTGTGCTCACCCTGAAACAAACGACGAAAAATGGGAAGCCTACAGAAGGGATTACCTGATTGGTAGGCCTTACTGCTCTTCCAAATCAATTCCACCAAGCGTTATTGGTTTGCAATGGGAAGGGAGAGCACTACTACGTCTCCGTCTGAACTCTGCTCTCAGCCTTTTAGCAAGCCTCATTCACTTGAATCGTTTCACTCGAAGGAACTCCTGGCTCTTGAGTTCTGTAGGAGAAATAACAGTTCTCAAACAGTGGCTAACTGCATTTGTCAATAGTTGTATTCAGTCGTAATTAATGTTGCGGGTTGGGTTGCCACTTATCTGTCCTTGTTGACCTTTACAGATGAATACTTAAGAGGTTCTCGAGGCAATTTTTTTCAGATGCACGAAACATTTGTCGTGATGCTTGTGCGGAAGATAGATGCAAAAAAGTATGTTTAGTTGGTAAAATGAGGGATTGCGGCTTCCTCCATTGTGAAGCATAGGATGATGGGAAGATCTATAGGATAAACAATTGGTTTTTAATAAATTTTTTTTGCGATGATTTTGATCATGACTGATGCTCATCTGATGATGAAGATGACCAGCGGCCTTGTAATGACGTCAAAATGAGGAAGCCAGTAAGTTTGAGTTCTTCTTCATAATTGTCCCTGCTTCGGTACTCATGGCCTGAGATGGAGCATTCAAATAGTGCGTTTAAAAGTAGCAGGTAGGTGACGGTAGGAATGAGTCCAGGAGAGGAGGAACGGCTAAGGGAATTAGAGTCGTCTCTACTCTCCTTCAACGACCCTTCTCTCTAAGACCTGTTCATATTCTGTAAGTTGCTCAATCATTTTAATTGCACCCCCAGCGCCAAGCGGTGTTGAGGAATCCTTGACACGCCGACAGGGGATCGTACTGGCCTGGGAGGAAAAGATCGGGCCGGATTGATGCAGTAGGATCATCACTGTCGGAGGACAAACATCAAGGATCGAATCGATGCCATGGAAGGCCAGAGGATTTCCAATAACAATGTTATTCCGCCCACATAAAATTTTCGTGATTCAGAGGTGTCCGCGTAGTAATCTTATCGTTAGCTACTTAAGTGTTTTGTCATGAAATCAGTTAAAGAATCTTGAAAAATCCGAAATTCGCACGCTTGCAAGGGGTATTTGATCTTTCAAAAGGCCTGGAATCTGAAAGGATGTGAAGCACACGGCGCATCCCAGAGTGGGCAAATTGTTGCGCATGCTCCAACTACGGCTCCCTGGAAAAGGAATCTCAATTCAAGAGAAACCAAGAGGATTCTGAAAGGGTCCGTGCGACGCCAGAAATGCAACCTTCAGTGTCAAATTCATGAACATATACAATAGCACTAAAAAGTATTCAGCCAAATTCTTTCTTCGGCCGTAGCCTTCTTTCTGCAGACAAATCAGTTCAATTTTTGATATGTATTAGAGGCAAACCTTCTTCACTAAGTAAGTGTTTTATTGTTGAATGGGAATAAGAATTCATGGAAAAAATCGTTACACTAGAAATTCTCGAGTATGACCGAATTCGGAGTAAATTTCATTTTATTGTAAAAAGCTTCAACAAAACAATTAGCCGCATGATAGAAAAGGTTAATCAGATTCAATACCTTCTTGATAACCTTCTGGAGTTGTTAAAACCTCAACAAGGTCTAACTGTGT